TTTTGGGCAGACAAGCTGGCAACGAATGGGTGGCACAGTGAGCTCGTGCAGCAGCCGCAGGGAGCGTGCTGTGGTTAGTGAGGCAGCGAGGAGAGATGGGCTTTGCTTGTTCTGCCTCCGATCCATAGCAGTCTCCTATAGGGGTTGGGGGAAAGACCACACGGCCACTTTTTCTGGCCCTTGTTTGGCCTGTAGCCAGGACAAATAGTCCTGAGTTAAGTCCCATTGGAACTGCTATTAATCCTGTGAGGCTTTCAGGGATTAATGCCCTGTGCTTGGAGCCAGGACCCCCTTCCAAATATGTCTGTATTGGATTGCAGCCCTGTTGGATTGTAGCAGGTAAAGGGCAGTCTGTTTTGTATATTTCTAAAGGAACTTGCATGAGTTACATGCTTTTCCCGAAGTGGAAGTCCCAGCCACCAAGGGCGTTAAGTCACTTTCTTGTAAGCCTTGTCAAATGGGAAAGAGAGTGAATGCATCCTTGCCTTTATGTCCACGAGGGCATCTTAGCAATGAGAGCAGCTGTGTTTTACACTGGATGAGTGCTTGTAGGATGGGAAAGTTTATGGGAATGTTTGAGCTTTTAAAGCTGTTTTATGGTCATCTCCCATCAGGACTGCTGTGCATATTTGATATACTTCTGCAGTTGCCCTCATATAGCCCACTGGGGTAGGACTTAGCGTCTAGTGCCCCGATCATCTGTATTCCGCTTCTCAGAACTTGTTCCACTATATCTGCATCCTTGTTAAAGTGTGGTGTCTTGAGCCAGTATGTGAAGTACAGGCTTACCAATGCAGGGTAGTGTGGCTCTGTTACTTCCTATCATTTTAAAATTCTGCTTTGATTGGTGCAACCTAAAATTATCAGTTTTGCAGCTACTTCACATTGCTGACTCATATTCAGCTTTATTGCTTTTTCCCTAAATGAAGAACTCTGAACCTGTTGCATTTTATTTTCACACTGTCTTCAAACCTTTGAGGATCATTTTGACTTTTGTTTCTGTCTTCTGTAGTATTAGTTGCTTGAACTACTCTTCCTATTTAATACAACTATCCCTTCTCAGGTAGAGATTTCACTGCACATAGTTTTAGAAATATCTGACATATTGCACAATGGTACTGCCTCAAAATAATAGCATCAACATCTTAGAAAGGAAAAACAAGGTTTTCCTGTTGGCTTTCTAAAATTATAGAATAAATATAATTATTAGTTTGTAAAAAATGTAGAAAGAGGTGAAAATAATTTAAGGGCAGCCAGGCCTCCCTGCCTTAGTGTTTCATGGCTAAGGACCTGGCATCAGAGTAACTGTTTAAGTCCTCTGCTACAGTCTCCTGTGTTGCTGGAACCCAGAGGTTTGTTGGCTGGTTAAGAAACAATCCTAACAACAAGCCATGTGTTTAGGTGGTTCGTTAACCACTCTAAAAAGTCATCCTTGCCTGGTTCAGATTATACAAGAAGCCTCATCAATCAAGAGTAAACATGTTAACTTAACTGCTCCACAACTATGTTTCTACATAGTCTAAAGTGCCTGATGCTGTCTAATCTTGGAAGCTAAGCAGGGTCTGGCCTAGCCGAAAACTGGATGGGTCACTATATTGTAAGCCACCCAGAAAGCTTCAGGTATGGACAGTATAGAAATGTAATGAACAACAACTGGCATTCATAGGTTGGTTAATCCTTGTGCCATGAAAACCAGCATGGCAATGGTGTGGAACCTCAGGCCTCCAACCTCATGGGAGTCTTAATCTGGCCTTCTAGCATTCCTCAAAAAGCAATGCCCCCTTCCTATAACTCCACCCCTTTTCCACCAACCATCAATCGGTTGGTGGTTTCCCAGCTTCTGTACAGATTTTTCTCATTCTAAATAGCTGAAGTGCTTTAATAAGGGCTTTTAAGATTAAATATGTGGCATTTTGCAGGGTTGATCCTGCTGCTTTTGGCTTAGGCCAGACTAGCTTTTGACCTGAGCCACTCCTGCCACTGGAACACCCCTGCAACTTCTTCTAAATGGCCTTTGTCCTTTTGTCCTGAAAGAGTTGATGAAAGAGGTTCCCATGCAAAGGGCTGGAACACGCAGTCATGGCTCTTTCCCCCCACTGTTCATGCTGGCCAGATTTTCCTTACTGATAGTGGTTGCTCAATTGTCTGAACCCAGGCAGATTTCCCTTGAAAGTGGAGTGGGAAGCAAACCTAAAATAACCCAACAACACATACTTGGGTTTTCTGAGGGCTGTTGGCCACACCACAATCGTGCATCACTTGATTTTCCTCTTCTGGAACAGGTCCCTTGGTGACCATGTCAGCTAGTCATACTATAACTAAAAGCTGTTGTTGTACCTCCATTTATATTTTTAATATTTACCTCCCAAGACATTTTTGTATTCTTACTTGTAAAGGTAAGGTAAAGCTTTCTCCTTTTCTTTTCTACTTTGTACAGTAGCAATGATAGATGTTTTATAAATGATTAACTATTTATAAAAGATTAATTTGTGAACTTGGGAACCTGAGGATTCTTCTCTTTTTGCATGCATCTCTTCTATAAAGGCAAACTTAATAGCATTATTACTGTTCTTCTTCAAGGAACTTAAGGCACAGAAACCCTGTGAGGTAGGTTCGGTTGGGAGTCAGTGAGTGGCCCCAGGTCTCACAACAAGTTTCAAGGGTGGGTGAGGATTTGAACCTGGAAAAATGACTGCTAGCTCTAATGTAAGGGTCTCTGACATGGTTTCCACGGGGACCTTCTTCACTCCCTGCTTCCTTCAAAAAGATCTATAATACTAAAAAATCCTTCAAAAATGTCAGGGCACCATATTCTCCTTTCTGTCCCTGGAGCAACCTCTGACCAACTGTTCAGCAAGAAGGAAGGAAGGGGATACTTGCCAACTCTCCCCAGTCTTTCTTTTCACACAGATGCTTCTCTTGGCTCTTTCACTTCCCATCCTCATCCCTAGGCTTTCTCTTCTCTTCCCTTCACTTCCTTATTCTGATTTTTCTTCCTCCATCTAGCTTTGCTCTTTTTCTTTCCGTTCCCTGACCTTTCTCTCATTTTTCTTAGATGCACACAGAAAGAGAGAGGAAACTTTTCTGGGTAGGCCTTCTGAAGGCAAGGAGTCAGATTCTTTCCCTGCTTGTACTAAGTCCCTGGACTGAGTCAATCATGTCTTTGACTAGCTTGGCCCTCCGAGGAACCATAATGTAACTAGCCACATCCTCCATGGGAGACATTTTGTGGTGGTGCCCTCATGGATTCTCAGATTCCCAAATGTCAGCCCAGAAGGTTGCAAACCTCTGCTCTAACATGTTGGTTTAGACCAGGGGTCTCAAACGCGCGGCCCACGGGCCAATTGCCGGGATGGGCGGGGCACGGGGGAGGGGCCCTGCGGCCTTCAAAGTGCAGGCGGCACCCGGGCTGGCCGTGGGATGAACGGCCCACCACCACCGCGGGGGTGGAATACTTGGTGCGGCCCAGCCTCACCCAGGCTCTACCTCCAGCGGCCCCCAGGTACGTTGAGTTTGAGACCCCTGGTTTAGACCAACCCAAGCTGAAATTTATCTTTGGTCTTTGAGGAAAACTACCACCCCTACCAAATGTTGAAGGTTGCTGCCAGTTTCAAAAGCAGTTTCTCAGCGGTTGCTTGTGGCTGGTTGGAGGATCTTTGAAAAAGCTTGCTCAGGAAGACAGGACTAAGTGGAAAGACTCTTTGGGTCCCTGCCAATTAATCAGGGTGTGTGGTAAAACATGCAAAAGTGTTTTTAAATGAAGCAGTATGAAATAGTGATATTAAATAGCACTATTTCATGCTGCTTTTATGAACTAGCATTTGCAAATTGGACAAGGAACGAAGCATCATTATTTTTTCACACAGTGCCAGTTTCAAGAAGTGGTGCCAATGTTTTATGTCATGGTCGAGGTCAATTAGTATATCAAGTTTTGCAACATGGGACTAGGCGTTCACCTGACTAAGGTTTTACACAATATACCATTTTGATGGTTGCAAAAGCAGTTATAACTGAGATCCATGAGTTTGTGCTTCAGACGGCAATCCTTCTCCTCCTTGGATGACTCTCTGCCGCTGTTCCCATCAGTAATAGGTAGGCATGAGCCTTAGTCTGGGTTGTCTCAGGGGCAATGTGGTAGCTTTTGTTTCTTTCACAAGCGACCCTAAGGTTGTCCCCCAGGCCATACCACCTTGGATCTGGTGTAGTCCCTACTCCCATTGATGCAGTGGGTGGCAGGGTGGCGGTAAAGAGAATTCCAAAAAGAAAAAGGTCTGCAAGTCATAAAGCCATAATAAAGCTGCCACCACCCCTGGACATGGTGGAATGGTGAAGGGTCAGTCACTTTGCTCTCCTCCACCTCAATTAGGATTGCTTTGTCAATGTAATTGTGTGTGTGAACAGACTGCTCCCACGGAAGAAGGCTGAAAGCAATCTATGGAAATGTTTTCTTTTCTCTTAGAATAATGCAGGGTTGCATACTTTGTGGGTCTCCAGGCTTTCTGGCTGACATCTCTCATCATTTCTCACATAGCTTTGCTGGAAGGACTGATGAGACTTGTAGGTGAAACATCTGGAGATCCACAAGTTGCCCTCCCCCCAGATAATGGTTTGCATCTAGAGTAGGCATATATAACTGTGCTGGTGGGAGCAAACTGCCCCCCTTGCCCCATGGCAGTCCATGCCAGCCCCTTAAATACTACAGAGAGGGTCAGATGTCCCTGTTGAAGGCGTGGGAGGATCCCCCAACATTGGTCCTAGAAGGTGCCTTTGCCCCAAATATGACAAGTTGGTCATGTCATTCGTGCCCATCTCATTCAGGTTCTCTCTCTTCTTAGTAGCATTTTCCAGTTAGCAGGATAGGCTGCCCTGGGCAGTAGGAGATGTAGAATCCTACCCAGTTTCAGCAGGATCCAACCCATGATTTTATTCACATGATTATTCTTTGTAGCAGTAATTTGCCATGGTGTCACCCTGCTTTATCCCTTGGCAATGCTGACCACTGCTTGGCAAATTCTCTCAGATTTTCTCAGAAGAACAAAGTATGAAAAGAATTAAAGGGAAAATGGACATTTGAGAGCTGGTTTTGATTCAGTGGTATGGCCTGCAGAACTATTTGCACTGATTTTCTGGTGTGGAATTGACTGCAGGATATTACTGAGAAAACTTTCATGTAGCAGCAATTTGTTTTTAATTTTGTATTCTTATCACCCTGACTTCTTTTTAAACTAAGAATACTGGTTTATGTGGTACTTCTGACGTTCATCATGAGTAGTTTTTTTTTTCTTCATAGAGCTGGCAGTGTGGTTTTTTGCTACTGTGTAGAGCCAGTTCACAAACTAGGGTGCTGCTTAATAAAGTCTCTGATTACAGGGTAGTCATGAAAAACGAATTTTCTAGCAGGAGTGTAAAATACATCTCATGCTCTTTTACCGAAGTGCCAGGGTGGAAACCTGGCACCAATTCCTTTGTTTTCAAAGGCTTTCAGGGCCTCTGGTTCTCAGTGACAGGTGGGGCCACATTCTATCTAGGTGAGCTCTTGGGGACCCATTAATGGGTGGGACAAATGGCAACATGGGTAAAACCAGAACTATCTACATGTTCTTAGTGCCAATTAACAAAGCCTTAGGAGGGGCATTTCCTCCTCTGGAATGAGGAAACAAAACTGCAAAAAGCCAGAAAGCCAACAGAAAACCAATGCCTAGGAGAAAAGTGAGTGGAACCAGAAGGCCTCTGGTCTCCTGGAAACTCTGGAGAGCTGCACTGGGACCTTGAGGCTTTGCTTGCCTTTTCTGAGGAGGTATGCTTCTATTTTTAATTTTCTTTTTTCAAAAGTACATGATTGTTTGGTCCACTTTTTTCAGAAAACCAAATATTACTTCCTTATTGCTTTAGTGGGGAAAGTGCTCTGCATATTGGATTACCCTAAATGGTGCATTTTCATACTTAATATGTCTCTTGCTTTTGAGAGAATACATTTTGAAAATGGTCCTATTCAGCTGCATGCTGTTCAGAAGCAGACTTGGAAACTTTAGGAAGGAAAAATTAAGAACACTGGCAACCAGATAGTTTTCTCCTTCCAGTTTGTGGAAAATGAAAAATTGGGGCTGGGGGGAATACCCGAAATAAATCTTGGTGGTGCAGCCATGAATGATTTGTATACTGGAACCATAGGCTAAGCTTCCTGGAAGATGTACTGCTGGCAAGCAATGGAGTGCACCTTACAAAGAAAGGAAAGGATGTACTTGGCCACAGAAGACATTTTCAGGAAGGCTTTAAACTGAATTCTGCAGGGGAGGGAGACATATATCTGAGTGCAACTGACAAAGGATTATATATTGCAATAGTGAAAGGAACCGTAGCTGGGCCTAACACTAGTCTCCTGAAAAATGTAGGAAGAAAGCCAGGGAATGATTCAAAAGGCTTTACATGTCTATACACCAATGCTCAAACTATGGGAAACAAACAACTTGAACTCTTAGTACACAAAGGCAAATATGACCTGATGGGCATGAATGAAACTTGGTAGGAATGGAATTCAAAACTTGCAGAATATAATTTGTTCAAAAATGCAAATGTACAAATGAAGAAGTCTTATTCATTTGGTTTGGTTTCATTTGGTGGGGTACATTCTGATGGATGTTTAGATAGAGAAAAAAGGCCTACAACTCCCAGAATGCTGACTAGGGAATGTAGGGAATTGTAGTTCTTTGTTTGTTTTTTGTTTTAGACTTGCATCCTTAAGAGAGCAAACTGAAAAAGTATGGTCAAATTGTAACATGAATAATTTCTTTTTCAGAAACAATTGTATCTTAAACAGAAAAATGCAAGGTGAGTCAAAGCATCTTTGTGCAGATTGTTTTGCTTTGTTGTTGTTTTTAAATCTTGGAATATACAGTGGGTGGTTGGAAATGTGCTCAGTGAAGATTTGGTTGCATGTGCCTTAATTTGCTAATCTGAAATTGGTGGGTGTTGAACTTTACCCTTGCTAGAAAAGAAGAAAATGCATGATAAAATTGTGCTACATACTACCTGGGTTCATACAACACAACAAGCCACGGTGATTTTTCCTTTTACCCTTGTTGGTCCATTTTGGCATCTGAACACTGTTGTGGCATTTTGGTGTGGTAGCTTTAAACTTTAGGAACCATGAACTGAAACAACAATCTGCTTGATGGTTTCTCCATACCGTGATGGCTTCTTATATCACCTGAGCCTGGAAAACACTGCCCACTGCGGAATGAAGACCAGAAGCATTCTTGCTAAGCAGCTAGCCAGAGAGTGCCATTGATAGCTGCTGTTCTGCAGCTTTGGGCAGGAGCAGGTGCACAGCTGGTTGGTGTTACAGAAAGCACAGTGTCACTCAGCTGTACAGTGTTGTCTAGCAGTGGGGAGTACTGCCTAATTGATCTCCTACACAGCCCTTGTCTGAGCATGGATCACACTCCCCCCATCCTGCTCCAGAGGTCCCCTCTAAAGTTCGAGGTAAGGGTGCTTGATCAGTTCCTCCATCCTCTCCACTGCACCTCAGGGCACGAGCCCCATTTACACATAAGAGCCTGCCCAACAGCCACAGCAAGCGGAACCTGGCTTGCAATCACAGCTGTCAAAGGGAGGAGCCTCATTCCTCTCTACTTTTTCTCCTGGACACCACCTGGTGCACAGTGAGGAAAGGAGATAGCAGATGGGAGGAGACATGCCATCATGGACCCGATCATCTGAGTGGTAGATTGAAGGGAGGGGAATGCAAAAGCTGGGAATTACACAGGGTTGCTTGTCGTGATGTGTGAACCCAGCCACTGTGTCTTCTGTGAGCACTCGGACTGTGCTGTGCTCTGACTCAGCAGTCAGACCTTTTTGTCATGTGGATGCCACAGGAGCAAAGGATTCTGACTATAACTGGGTGAGAAAACGGGTCTATTGAACCCAGCCCTGTTGAACCTGGCTTGCATCAGCTCTCCTGGGTCTCAGCCCAGATTCTTTCTTAGGCCCATCTGGAGATGCCAGGGACTGAACTTGTGACCTTTTGCATTCAAAGCATCCACTGGGGTGCAGTTGCTTCCCGCCTGATGGGAATGGAGAATTTGGGATAGGCTGACTGTGATGCTTGGATATGAAGAGCAGCACTTTTAACTGAGTCCAGAAACAGACCACAAGCCTGCACAGTTGATGAAATATCAGTGTAATGTGCTCAGAATGTCTGGTTAGCAAACCAGTGACTGGAAGGTCATTGAACACATATTTGCATGCAAAGAGTCTCCAGTTGAATCTCTGGCATCTCCAGGCAGGATTTGGAAAGGCTCTTGTTTGAAACTCTGGAGAGTCCCTGTCAATCATCATGCACAATGCTGGGCTAGGAAGACCATTGGTCTGACTCTGTTAAAGTCAGCAAAAGTGCTTTGAACTACCTGCAAGATCTGAAAGTGCCCTGCATAACAGTTGACATACTCTTATCTGGAGGTTACCCAAGCTTGGACAACTGAGGCCAGTTCTGTGTTGTGGTAGTTCCTAAAGCAAGCATGCACAGTGCTTGTACTGTTGTTTGGCATATCATGTTGGCAGCCTGCTCAAGACTGTCTAAAGGACTTCTAATTTGCCTCCTAATAACTTTTTCTATAATGTTTGTACTCTGCATCTAAAAGATGCATTGGTTTTATTTGTGTCTACAGAAGAATTATTATACTTTTGCCTGTTGCTACATAGAGCTGAAAGACTTGCAGTAAGCTTTATAAAATTAGCTTTATCCTGTTAACAGATCTCCTGCAAATTGCTTCAATGTGTATTGTTTAGCTCAGGATATCAAGAAACTGAACAAAGTCTTTCTAGCAAACCAGTACATGTTAACCTGTTCTGTGCCCATCTTGTGACATATAAAATGCTTGGCTCTTGACAATGCCCTTGTTTGGCCATAACATTAGCAAAGCAATTCTATGTCCTCTGTGCCCAGCCAGCAACTAGGAACCTATAGGATTATTTGGATCTCAACTCCAAGGATGGAAAATGTTCAGACCTCACAGTATGGGATCTATCACAGATCCTATTTCCTCCACTGCAGCTGGTATAGAAAGAAGCACACTGGCTGCTTCTGTGATGTCACAAAGCAACCTTGGAAAAGTAGTTCAGGAGAAAACCTTTTTCTGGGGGGCGAAGGGGGGGAAGATGCCAAGTTATAAGGAATCCTGCTGCTGCCCCCACCCTACCAGCACATCACTGAAGTTAGATAATGAAATCATCTGTTTTACAGGGCAGGAGGAGCTGCTCCTGTTTTGCAAAGGATGCCTGTAGTCCTTTGAGTTTGGAGAGCTGTGAGCATCCTTGTAGGAGTTTACACTTAATGATGGTTTAGCATTATGTGCACAAATTAGCCCTTTCTGCCTTTTTCCTCTTTCAGCATGGTCATGAGCAGATTAAAGGCATTCTCGTTCATGTTCAGCTAACTACAGTTTGTTGTTTGGACAAAAGTGGGAGCTGTAGTCTTATAATTTAGGATTTGTTTAAGATCCTATAAAAGGAAACTTACAGAACAGTAAAGCTGCAATTCAATGTCCGATTATCTAAGAACATGCCCCATTGGACTCTTTGGGACTCAGTAGATATGCATAGGACTGAACTGTTTTTGGGGCAAAACCTTTTCTTTCAGTAGAGACCCAGCTAATCTCAGTGATTTGGAGCATCCATACCAGCATTGGCTGGTATGTAAGGTACACCTATTCCTGAGCAGAAAAACCTTAGCCACTGAGATTCATGCACTGGTAACTGCTTGAGAATGTGCTCTACATGGGCTATCCTTGTATCCTGTTTGGAAGGTGCAGCTATTACAGAATGCAGCAGCTAGTACACAAACATTACACACCCATGTTTAAACGGCAACAACTCTGCACTGCTGACATTTTGCTACTGAGTCATACTCAAGGTTTTGTTGCTGACATGCAAAGCCCTGAATAACTATGGGCAGGGATATCCTGCTGACCATCTTCACTTGAGAGAAGTGCATGTGTGTATCTAGTTGATCCCTGAGATCACCTGAGGAGGACTTACTGGTCATTCCATGGCAAATGGAAGGTCACTAGGCAATAATGAATAAGCAGGTCTTCCTGGTGGTAACCCACACCATTTGAGACACTCTGCCATGTGTGATTCTAGAGGAAGGCAAGTGGCAAGTTTAAATGATTCTTGGAAACCCGCCTATTCACACAGGCTTTCTCTTACCAATGGGGGACTCAGTTACCATCCTGTTAGTCTATGATAATGTAATACTTGTAAATTTTCTTAACTGTTTTAATTACTTATTATTTGTATCTTGTTTATATATTATAACATACTTTAATGTGAACCACTTAGAGATTTGAATATCATGCACAGTATACTTTTTAAATAAATAAATAAATAAGATCCTGTAACATTAAATAAATTCAATAAAGTGTCTGTACAATGATGAATCATGTAATCTATGATAAAAGAGGCTGGTAGACCTTTGCACACTAACAACGCTGACACATACTCAAAATACCTGCCTTAACATGCCAAAAATGAAGAAAATAACACACTTCCCAAAATCAACCTTGCTGGTGTTAAGTACATTACAGCAAATGTGGTAGAAAGCCACTTAAAAAGAAATCTACCATGCCATTTTTTGTTTTGTGTTAACCCAGGTTCCATTTTTGTAGCCCTATAGACTACGAAATTAGTTTAGAAATGTTTACTAATCTGACCCTTGAATTCCTCACTTACTATTGTTCCTCAATAGCGTTCTAAAAAAAGTAATAATGCCTTGTTATTTTCATCAAAAAGCTCCTGGGAATAGAGATGAGACCATCCTTTGGGTGTTTGAATAATGTCTTGTCTAGACTGCAGTCATATATAATCGGTGACCCAAAGTTCTCAGCCTTATTTAATTCTCAGTATCAAAACTGTTGAGCTCTTCTGCTTGTTCACAGAATGCTAAATTACAGTTTAATGTTACATCCAAATGCAGCCACAGCAGCTCTGGGTGGGTACTCTGAAAACTGTTAATACTATTACAGCTGAAAATGATAAACAATGAATCAAGCAGGCATATTTGATACAAGCACAATGAAATCTAGTTTAAAAAATCCTACATCTTCATGTGTTTTGGATGTACAGGTTTCAGAACTGGAAAAGTCAAAACAAGAGAACTAACCTATATACAGAATTTGCTACTGGCCTGAACATTTCAAAATCAAAGTGGTAGTTTGTTAAACAGAATACTTTATAAATTTTCAAGTATAAACATAATAGACAGTGTTGCAATGAATAACACTTGGATAACACTTGAATAACATTTGTAACAGAATGAAACTCAGATGTTAGAATTCTCTGTTCTGATTAACAGAACAGTTTCAGTGCCTGTAAATTGTTTATACTTTCAGCAATATATGTAAGTGCATGTATAGTTCCATTTAATATTATCATTTTCATTATTGTACTTTAGTTTGAAAGTCTCACGGGGGCATGGAATGAGCAGATGTAGCATATTAGAATAAGCCTAAGCTACTTCTCATTCTTCCAGCAAACGATTCTGCACCTACACCACCACCTCCAGCGTATCCAGGATATCCAGGTGCCCAACCCCAGTATGGCTTTCCTCAACCAGTACCTGGAGCAACTTTTCCAGGTAGGTAGTTGCAGTATATGTAAGCTTGCTAGTTTGATCAGAAAAGCGCAGATTTATATATTGGAAATGTGAAGGTTGTACTCAGATTGTTACGCATTGTGCCACCCTTGTACCTATAAATGTTATTGCAAAATCATGCTAAACCGAGCAGCAGAAGAGCTGAAATGGTAAGAATATCTCCATTTCCAGAACACAGCATAGGGCCACAAGGTTGGTGGCCAGTTTGCAGGGGATGGGATACAAGGCAAGACTGAGGGAACTGGGTCTCTTCAGCCTGGAGAAGAGGAGACTCAGAGGGGATATGTTGGCAACATACAGGTATGTGAGGGGGTGTCACACGGAGATGGGTAGAGACCTGTTCTCCCCTGCAGAGGAAGGCAGGACGCGTTCCAACGCAGCAAAGCTCAGGGAGCCAAGGTTTCGTTTGGATGCCAGGGAGCATTTCCTGACTGTCAGGACCCCGAGGGTGTGGAATGGGCTTCCACGAGAGGTCTTGAGGCCCTTTCGATGAGGGTGTTCAAAGACAGGCTGGACATGCACATGCTGGGAGCTGGGGGTCAGACTAGATGGCCTGGAGACCCCTTCTGACTCGCTCTGTTTCGATGTTTCTATGTAACACATATTCTGCATGAACTTTCTTGCAGGAAGCCCTGCAACTGCAGTCTTCTCCTTTCAGCAGTAAATATCATAATAAAATGACAGATTTTGCTCTGAATTAGTTTTCAATAGAACTGTGGAAGGCTCCTCCTCTGTGCTTCCTGCAGGTTTCCAATACATCTGCCAGCAATTACTCAGTGCCCATGCTCGTGCTCTTTTTCTTCTGCTTGCCTCCTCCTACAAGGAGTGGTTCAAGCAGGGGTGGCAGCTTTTCCTTGGCCTAAGGCTCAGATTGCTACCTGGAACACATCCTGAGGAACTCATGCTAATCATGGACATGGCTAGAGTCCCACTTTCTCACACATTATTCAGATAGACACACACACACCGCATCCTCACACAGCACCTGCATCACTCCTATGCAGACTATCTAGTCTGACCAGTGAAATATGTCCTTCAGATTGGGGCCTCCATGCTGGCTGGGAATGATGGGGTTTGCAGCTTCACAAATGAAGGGTACCAGTTTGGCACAGGTTGGTGTAGAGTAAAGGAGGTGGCTAGCAAATGTGGCTGATCCTGGCTTTCTGGCAAGCCCCTCTGCTTTGCTCTTGTGTCTTCATTCATTTCTAGTTCTCTCCAACTGTACAGCATTAAAGTGTTATACATTAGAAAGGATAGTCATTAAGATTGATTGACTTATTGCATTTCTATACTGCCCAATAGCTGAAGCTCTCTAGACAGTTCTCAACAATTAAAATAATAAGCTACAACATAAAATATACTATAAAACATTGACAGTTTAAAACTATACTATAAAATAGAAGTACAAGCGAAAGATTGAGCTACAATTGAGGATGTTCCTGGTTTGTCTCTGCCATGAATTCTGGAACTAGCCTTAGGCAAGGAACTCTTTCATCCTTCTGCCCTATGTGGGATAATAATGCTGACACACCTTACTCAACGAGGACCTTGAATCCATGAACGTGTTTTATTGCTGTTCATTAGTCCACATGGTGGTTTTCCTCCTCATGGCAAAGTGTGCTTATCAATCTCTAGAATGGACTGATGATGAACTGTTGAGTAAAAGCTATAAAATGCCCTGTACAAGATTCTTAATGATGCTCAGTAATTGTTTTCTGGTGTCTGGAGTAGAATTGGTTCCTCACATTCTTCTGTGCTCTGTTTGTTTTTCATTTGAAACATTCCAGGACAACCTTTCCTGGCTCATCCAGCAACTTATGGAGCTGTCCCACCTCAAATTCCACAAGTTGCAGCTCCTCCTGTAATTTGGATGCCAGCTCCACCTGCAATTCCTAAATGTCCCCCTGGATTAGAATATTTAAGTCAGGTATCCCACTCTTCTTTCCTTGTTTTCTTCTTACCTTATAAGTAAGTATAAAAGTCTACTCAGTGCAAACCTATACATGTCTACACAGAAGTGCGCCCCATGGATTTCCTCCCAGATGTATAGGATTTTAGCCTGACTCTAGTTTTTGGTGTGCAACTTGTAGCCATCCTGATGTTTTAGCCTGTAATTTCCATGATCTTTCATGATTGGCTATGCTGACTATAGAAATATAAACTGAAGAGAAAAGCCAAGTTTGTTTGTTTTAATTTGCCTCTTCGGCAGTGCATATGTTGGCTACAGCTGCAGCTTTAAGGAAACCCTTATGTTGGAATAGCTGGTTCTCTTGCGTGCACACGTACTGGTTTGTTGCACCGTCATCCCTGCACTGAACGGTGACTAAATAGAAGAACGAAAAGGCACCTTGATTACATTATTTAAGTAAAGGAGGTAGTAGTACCTACAATATTGGACATCTTCGTATACTTTTTTCTTGCTTTGGATGGAATTGTATCATATGAATTCGCAATTGCTTTTCTTATTGGCATAACCTGAATTATGTCTTTATGATACCTACACAGGAATGTGAAATTCATATAAAATATGAAAATTCGTGTATAGAACGTTAAATAATTATATGGATACAGTTATTTTGCAACTGATTTCAGTTATAACATCTGCATTTATTTATTTTTAATGCCAGTGTTTTAACATCTGTATCTTTTACTTGTAACAGCTTGATCAGATAGCAGTTCAACAGCAGATTGAGCTTCTGGAAAGTAGGTATCTTCCTACCTCACTTGGAATATTCAGAAAATTCCACATGTTTGTGTTCTGCTTCATAAGATATGTCTTTATTAGTGGATCTGTTAGTACACATTTTTACAAAACTACACAGTGAATATTACAAATATGACAATATTACACAGTGAATTTTACAATACTACACAGTGGTATTTCCCAAAGCATGGTTGCATGGTTCATTCTTCTGGAAAGCTTGAAAGGCACCAAATCCCACGTTTGTGGGATTTTGATTGTTCCTAACAGAGGCATTGTCTCTTGTTTTTTTGTATTGTTACACTTTTTTAAAAAAAGTTGACAACATCAAAGAAACAAGTCCACTATTTCTATAGGTCTGGTGTCTAAGCAGTACCAGTTTTCCTTTGAGAAATATGAACTTTGCATACCAGATCTAATTCTATTTCCAGAGAGAAAGATCTTATGTCTGGACAATGGGAGTGTTCACATGCCATGGCAAGCGATACTGCATAGTTACATAGAAACAGAGAGAGTCAGAAGGAGTCTTCGGGCCATCTAGTCTGACCCCCAGCTTCAGCCGGCTCCGCTCATGACATGCCTACCATGGCGGCGGCGGCGGCGGCTGCTGCTGCTGCTGCTGCTTCTTCTTCTTAATTTCTGAGAGACAATCAGACTCATGGTAACTCTTCTTCTCCCACCGCCATCTCCTTCCATTTCAGTCCTCCAGGCAGTATTCTAGAAGACACTGTGAGGAGAAATGAAGCACTTTTCTTTGACAGCTGTGATTGCTGTGTGTCTTCTTGTTAGTCACTTGGCAGAAGTTAGTCACTTCTCCTGCCAAGTGGCTTCTGGCCTTGGAACCCTGATGGGTTGTGTTTTCTGGGTTTGGATAGCACGATGGACCATCAGATGACTGAGAAACCACAGCACAGGCCAGGATCTCTGTTTGTGATTTATAAAAAACAAATGCACCACACTGAAATACCACAACATGACAGATGAACAAAGGTGAACAAACAGCACATCTTGTTGTGTCATCCAAACCTGCCCAATATTTTCCCACCTTCAACAAAAACAGTTCTTTTCTCAGTCCCTTTCACCCTATAAGGATTGTTTGTATCTTCATATTTACATTCTTTATTACTACAAAATGTCAGAAAATGCTTAGTTTCTAATAAGCTGCATAGCACCTTGTCCCAGCTCTGAGGCCTACACTAAAAGTGCATGAAGGCCCAGGCAGGTCAGCAGCAAGAAACTTGCACATTTGTATAACTAAAGCTATATCCTGATAAATTACACTCCTGCATCAATCAGCTTCATCCTATCCCTCTGTTTCCCAAAAATAACATTGGACTACACTGTAACACGGAAAATTGTCATGCAGTAAAATGGGAATAATAGGAGGTTACTTTGCAGGCTGGCGTAACCCAAACTCTCACAGTCACAGCCCTACTCTTTTAATGTAGATATAACAATGAAAAACTTTATCAGCATGCATTGTAAGGGTATTTTTAAATGTTTATAAATTCAGAGGGAAAATCAATAAAACCTTAGTGGGAAAGATTTGTATTCCTACTTTGGAGGGGAGGCGGGGGCCGGATAGAAACATTACTGTCCAATTCCTTAAAAGAGAAATTGTTTCCCACCAGTAAACTCCCCGCAGCTTCCCAAAAGACTTGGAACCGAACCAGGAAGTTTCCCTAAATGTCAAATGTTGATGTGTCTTAATTCATTGGCTAAAATCCTGAAGGGCAGAAACAGACTATTTTTACTTACTAGAAATATGGACAGAATAGTGGCTCTACTTTTAGCATCATATTTCAATTTCAGAGCTGCTTTAAACAAATGAAAGCTTGAGAATCTGCAGGGGAGGTCAACTGACTCCCTCCACCCCCTTTCCTGCCCCTTCCTGTGAGTGCCTGTGCTCAAAGAGGCACATAAACATTTCCATAGTGACAGGAGTTATTGCCAAGCTGATTGGATAAGGCTGAGTGTTCTTGTAGGATTGCATGGCTTTGGATTAGAGATGGACATTGATGGCCCTGATATTTTCCTTTGCTGCTCATGGCAAGCATTTGCACCAGCTCAACAAGCTTCCTTGTTTTACTTCCTTTTCAGTGATAAGCGGCTATGAAACTTGCAACAGATATGAAGTCAAAAACTCTCTGGGTCAGTGGCTGTACTTTGCAGTGGAGGAAAATGATGATTACAACTTGAATATGTATGGGGCATTGCGGTCATTCACCATGAAACTCTTTGACAGTAGAAACCAACCTATCATACAGCTGGCAAGACCTTACCATTGTTCCATCTGCTGCTGCCCTTGTATTTGCTGCTTGCAAGAGGTAAGCAACTCCTCTCTTTGAGACCACCTTTTATTTATCATTATTACTATTATTAGTACACTACATTTATACCCTGCCTTTCTTCCTTTTGCAAGAAACTCAAGGCAGTATATAAGGTTTGATTTTTGACTGGCTTTATGTGATAAGTTTTCCTAAATGTCAAGAGGATGGCATTTGGGACTCCTACTTATGTAATTTCACAGAAGTGTGTTTGATCCTCAAAGTGTTTTTGCAGTTTTGTTGACATGGAGCTTTTCTATGTAAGGCTGTTAATGCACTGTATCTGCTTCCATTTTGGTTACAGAATGGATATTCAAGCACTGCATGAATGGCATTTTGACAGCTTTTCCACTACATAATTTCTAGGTGGCACTGTGGTATAGGAGAATGGTTCAATTAAAAATGAAAAAAGGTGTTTTGTTTTATTTTTGCAAATAAGACTGCATTTGCCCTGATCTAATAGAACTTGCTGAAAGTGCCATTTAAAAACAGAAGCAGAACTGGAAAGTCACAGCATCATCTAAAGAACCCTTAAAACAGCTGTGAGTAAGGAATGATTAACACACAATAAATGTCCCAGGTGGAAGAGCTCATGGCTTCCATCCAAGTCTTAAATAGGACTCTCCTGCCAGGAGAATATGGCATTGCTGCCAGTCAAATGCCCCCACAGGAGGACATTCCATAGTTGAGAAACCAGAAAAGGCCTTCACTTCCATATCTTCATTATGCACTTACCTTCCCATCCCAAGGCACCTCATCCAATGATCTTGATACACTGGGTATGAGAAGATCCACTACTTAAGTTGCTTGGGTCTTAAGCCAGTTAGGGCACAATTGTACAGCTGCTAGACCATGTCTAGACAGCTACTGGAGAAGCCAGAGTCTTAGCTCTGACATCAGAGATCTGTTCCAAGGTCACATCTTTTCACTGGGACTCTTCACAGCTGGCATAGAAAGTATGATGTCGGTTGCAGCAATGAAGTTATAAGACTGACCTTGGAGATGAAATTCTTGGGTACTCCATGAATCAGGGATGGGAGGAATCAGGCACCAGTAGCATAGATGACATCCTGGAGGTGACGCTCTTCATGCTGAGCAGTGAAAGACTTAGACAGTTGAAATCTTATTTTTTTCTACCATTGAATGCCTGTAATGCATTCTGTTGTGCTGTTAGGTATATATCTCAAATAACACTACTTTCATTCCATTAAGTTGTTCAGAACAGAAAATCACTCTATGGTTCCATTTTTACTCTAAATAAAACAGCTTATATCTATTACAAAATCCATTAAAGCAAACATTAAACATGAAAGTGAAGCAGTTGTTAGTCCATACAACTTTTTAAGCATACCAGAGTATACCAGAGTATGCTTAAAAGATAGCTAATTTTCACTATTTGAGTTTGTTTCCTATCCATTTATCATAAACACCAGAGAAAGTGCAAAGAAATAATACATGAAATAGAAGATGAAAAGTTTGTTTCCTATCCATTTATCATAAACTCCAGAGAAGGTGGAAAGAAATGCTACATGAAACAGAAGATACCAAGCACTAATTCAAGTTTTATAGTCTCTACCCATTAGCACTAGGGACAAAACATATTACCATAAACGATGAAGATGCATCAGTTACATTCACTCCCATAATGGGACTCTTCCTTGCCCAAGTATTGTGTTCAGATATTGTTATCGCATTAATTTTGAATTTGTACAAGCTCTCATGTGACCCATACATAGTGGAAACTTGCAGTTTGATGGGCTTCTTCCACACGGTTAGTACCTTTACAGCTGGAATGGGGGGGGGGGGAGCCAGGATAAGAACATAAGAAAAATCATGCTAGATCAGGCCAAAGGTTCATCTAGTCCAGTTCTCTGTACACATGGAGGCAAACCAGTTGCCCAAAGGATCACTCATGCAGAATGAGTTCAAGACCTCCACTTGCCCAAGCTCCTTAGCAACTGATATATGCAGGCATTCCACCTCTGGTAAAGGAGGTAACCCAAAGCCAGCAAAGCTATTACAAGCCCCTTTCAAAGCCATCTAAAATGGTGGCCATCACCACTTCCTGTAACAGTGAATTCCATATTTAACTGTATGTTGTGTGCAGAAGTATTTCCTTTTATCTGGCCTGAATCTCCCATGAATCAGCTTCATGGGATGACCCTGGGGCCTAGCATTATGGGACAGGAAGAAAAATTGCTCTACTTCTCCACAGCATGCATAATTTGAAACACCACTGCCATGTCTTCCCTTACTTGTCTGTTTTCTAAGCTAAATAGTCACAGTTGTTGTACCTGCTCCTCATATTAGAGGGAATCCAGTCCCTTGATCATTTTCATTGACCTTCTCTGTACTATTTATTTATTTATAGCTTTTCTAGACCATCCCTTACCGAAGTCTCAGGGTGGTTTAACAATACAACAATGTAAAATAAAACAGAGCGTCCTAAATTTTCCAACTCAATTATGTCCTTCTCAGGTAAGGCAACCAGAACTGATTAAAATATTCTAAGTGTGGCCATATCAAAGATTTGTATAAGGGGAGTAAGATCCTGGCACTGCTATTTTCTATTTCATTCCTAATTTTGCTAGTATAATGAAGCCTATGGAAACACACTTCTAGGAATATGAAATGTAGTGCTTTTTTAGGAAAGTAATGGGTTTTAGGAAAAATCT